ACCACCACCACCGCCACCACGACTACACCTACTACTACTACTACTACTACTACTACTACTACTACTACTAGTACTAGTACTAGTACTAGTACTAGTACTAGTACTAGTACTAGTAGTAGTACTACTACTACTACTACTACTACTACTACGCTGTTGCTGCTGCTGCTGCTGCTTCTACATACTGCGACCGCAGCGGTTGCTACTGCTGCTGCGAGGATTGCGTCTCTGTTTAAAAATGTAACGAATGCACGCTTTTTTTTTACATTGGCGCTGTTATTGTTGCTGTTCCTACGATCTCTAACGACTCCAAGGATTCAAACTAAAAACCGCAGGGGCATGGCTGGTCATGTGGGCCGGTTCTGATCGCATTCAGCGGGTAGCGCTCGATCCCGCCGCCTTTGGCCTGGATTTCTGGATTTGGGCAGACCCATTCACCCATGTGTCCGAAGTCAAAGGTTATGGAGCAGGTAATTACCCTATGACACTCCCCCGTAACTAGTGATTCGGATTATTTTTCAAAATCAGCCAGGGGAGCTTTGATGAGGCTCCAAGCATATGCAAGCAACTCGGGATGCGAAGGTGCTCCACCCCACAAGACCTCGTGGCCCACATAGAATCCGGAGCAGGACCAGTTGATGAAGAGCGGAAATCCTTTCCATACTTCTGCATGCCACTGGGAGAAACGACAACCCCGCTCCACACAAATGGCGTCCTTCATGGCCATGATCTTCTTAGATGCTGGATCTGTAATGTTTCGACTTCCATCCTCAAAGACCCAATTGGAAGATGGATCGTCGCTCTCCATCCACCAATTTGTGAAATACAGACTGCGACGTGCATCGCTCCCTTGCAGATGTGTCCTGAAGTTGTATTTCTCAAAATAGCCTATTGAGGTCGGATTTAGGGCAGTGTCATTGCTGAGTGCAATGATATAGAAGTTCCCGTGGTTCATCGAGGTCGCCAAGGGTGACGGATCAGGTGTCGTCACCGTATCGCAAATCGAAATGCTCTCATTCTTTGAGACCCGTGCGACATGTTGCAGCAGGCTCTGCTGAAACTCAACTTCCCCACTCTCCGTCTCATAAAGCTCGGCAGCAGCCAAGCTGATGCTCACCAAAAGCCGCGCCACAGGAACCATATTGAGGATCGGTACGGTTTGCTTCTCGAGTCGGCATTTTGCAACATCTTGTGCTATTCATGCAAGAGCGCGGTGAGTCTGACTCAGGGGGAAGAACAGCAGCAAGATCGCCACAGAAACTGACAGAAATTGCCAAAACCTGCCTTCCTCAGCATTTAACAACTCAGCAAAAGATCAAGCAAAACCGACACGTTCTAGTTGACTCGCGACTGGTACGTTGTCTTTTGGCATGCTGGCACCGGCATCAGGACATGAAAGAACTACAAGGTCGCCAGGCTTCACATTGACATTTTGGTCTGACCGGAATTTCCAACATTCTACGGCTTTCGCCGCTAACTTCGGCAGTCTCAAGCTACTGGGACCGCGCACGGTCGAATGAATTTCATGCCGGCAAAGAACGCCTGGCACACATGCACCTGATCATTGCGCCGGGTCAAATTTTCCAGGTGTTACCACTCAGACTTAAATGTCTGGCTTTGGGTAGCCAAAAGCCTCGTAGTCTGCCTTGAAATACCTTAGTGCAGCAAGGTTTTGCTTGCATTCAATCCTCAATTCCCACTATGGAAGCCATGGTCGTAATGGCAGTCTAGCGGAATCTACTATTGCTGTCACTATTGTTGTAGCTGTTACTGCTGCCTGCTGCTATATATTACCATTACTTTTTCTATTGCTACTACATTTACCAGTCTAAGTCGAAGCCCTGCCTGAAATCAATGCAGCCCTACAATCAGTACCGCAACGCGGAGAGCACCGGGAAGGGGATACCATGATTTCATCAGGGTCGAGTCTGTGGAAGACTATCTCCCAAGAATGTCGCCCCACGCGAAACAAAAACACAAAAAACACATGGACCAACTTTAGCAGATGCCCGCGGCCCGGCCACTCATACACGGCTGCCTTGGTTTCCGGTCTGAGGTCCGACACTGTCATGTTGCAGCTGTCTGTCCAGCTGGACATCAAATCTTCTTCAGGCAGTTCCACATTGCGTCCAAATTCTGCCATAAGTGCATCAAACCTGGCACAGGATCCAGGACTCGTGTAACCGCCCAAGGGCCTACCACGAAGTTACTGAAGTGGGGCCGGCCTGGCTTGCCCTTCACGGGATTGTTTTAGGATACCTACTGAGACTTACTTGAGTGGAGTGGATCCCTGTAATCATCCCGTCCCCATACTGTCCCCACACTACCCACCTTCACCCCAACTGCAAAGAATCGGTAGGGATCCTTTGGCCAAGGGTCTCCTGATCGAGGTTCTCCTGATGCAAGATGCGATTGCAATACTGGTGAGAGGCGGCGGTCTTATTGGTCACGCCATATATGCTCCTGAACTTTGGCCACTCGCAAGCCAGGATGATTTCGGCTTTGTCTGACACAGGCTGCGCTCTCAATTTGCACAAATGGAGCCGAGCCAGGTTTGAGCTGAGTTGCTCAACTTGCAGCATGAAGAAGCACTCGTGCTCGTACGGGCCTTGCGCCGGGTTCAAGCGAGAACACACCTTGCGCAGCTGCGCAGAAAATGCGGATGCACTGTGGCATGGTGATGCCGTTGCACGAGGAACTTGCTGAAATCGCAAGCATGCATTGAACCAATCGGCTTGTGCATGCCTCTGGAAATTAGCATAATTAGCTGCTTGCACAGCGTCGGGTAAGCAAGTCGGAGAGAAGCTCCAGTGCTTTCTTGTTCACGGAGTCGGGATCACACGCCTGAGTGCCGCCAGAGATACCGCACGTACGTAAAACGCATGTGGAAACGAGCGGCTAGACTTGTCGAATTGCCTCGCTTCGCTCCCTTAGCACACCTTCTGGCTTCATGTCAGACAATCAGGCAGACACCGCAACTGTCGTGCCAAGCGTCGTAATAAAACATCTGGAATCCACTCCAGAATCGGGCCAAAGGCTCACGCACGACACAAAAAGTAGTGCAGCGATCCTCTTGGTAGTACAGCGCCACAGCAGAACCTTAGAACCACCCTAGTCTGATTCCCGTGCATTGCACTTTTTTGGTCTTCTGCTGTATTCTGGCTCGCCGTTTCATGAACTTAACCGACTTATATGCCCGAAGCCCTAAGCCCCGCAGCATTGTGCCAGGACCGGCGTATCGTAAATTCATGGTATATGAGAAGATACGCATTGTATATTCATCGTGTAGTATGGTACGGTATAGTATATCATAGTATTCAATTTTCTTTTGTAGCATATTATGGTAATGATAAATGATAGTATATTACAGTATGTGTATTTTCATGATATCGCCCAGAAGGGGATTGATTTCGGGTCTACGGCCGAGGCAAACGCACATTGACTAACATTCGCTGGACGAGTTTCCGTAAAGCCACTGTAACCACTGTAACCGCTGCAACTACTGTGACAACGCATCGACTGTAACCACTGCAACTACACTGGACTAGTACTCGTACTTGTACAAGTACTAATTAGTTAGTACTAATCTAATTACTATACCACCAGTACTACTACGACGACGATTACAGCTACAGCTCTATGGCTGCAACTACGACTACGACTACTACTCGGCATTGCTTCTGTGTCTTGGCTGTTGGGTTCTGTTGATGAAGTACGTTTGACACGGCCACGGGCATCCTCTTTTTTGAGGTCGTTGATCAATGATTTCCTACTGCTGCCAGCTATGCCCCGTAGTTTGCCCCACACATGCTCAAAGCTGTCTGAATTAAAGCTGCTGTGGCACTGCGGGAGGGTGGTGTGTGTACATCCTCGCATTGATCCGTCGCTCCGGGCGGCAGCCAATGGTATAAACGTCTGTGCAGGGTTCTGAAAGGCGTGTACACCAGCTCGCTTGAATGTGAGAAGTCAAAAAGATTGCCCAAGTCCTGGGGCTTGGGACTACAGGGGTCAACATGGGCCAACTATCATTGAAGGCACTGGGTCCAATCCGCATGTCCCTAAACTTCTCTTGCTCCTTTTCATCTATCTGGTCAGCTTCGGCAATTCGCTCATATGCGCGCAGCATGTAGGAGTCGAAAGCCCGCTGTCCCGGCGGGAGGTGCAGGTTAGCCTTGGAGCTGTGGGTCTAGATCGATCCCCGATCTCAGAGCTAAATCCAAGCCCTGCGGCTGAGTCGATGCTGGTGCCCCCAGTCCTCAGTGGGACAAATTAGGTTTTAACCTCACAGTCAGAACTCAAATGCGGGGGGGGGGGGTACGAATGCACATACGTTCCTGTACGTCAGTATGTAGTACGGACGTCATGAGAGGCATGCATGCAGGGAGCGATGTATGATTATGTATTCGTACGTCTATTGCGTACGTTGTAAATTACGTTATAGTACGTAAGGCTAGCCGTGCTAGGCACATAAGAAAACAGGTAAAGTAAAAAGTGCACTCTGGGGGTGTGTATGTTAATACATAAGTACAGGGTATAGTACACTGGCCACACGATAACCATTAGCATCTGCATAGACTGCCAGCCTCTTCTCTAGCAAACCGTTCGGCCTCAGTCAGAAGAGCAGGTAGTCCCGCTTGTTGCTGGCTCCTTTCCCAGGGCAAAGCCCGTAGCGAGCCACCCACAGTGGGCCAGGTAGGCCCGTTCAGAGATGTAGCTCCTTGATGCGCTTGCTAGCCCCTGAAGTTTTCGTTTTACTCAGGGTGGGTCACTAGCTGCCCGTCTGCTCAGCTCTCCTGGCTGTTTGCTTGCAGGTCCGATCACCTCAGGGTCCCCCATACCTTCAGCAGCTTGCCCCAAGCCCCCTTTGTTAAGGGGGCCTTCGCGGCCCAGACTAGCCGTCCGTGGGTGGCCTTCTGCTCCAAACGGAACCCATAGCGTTTAGCAGTGCCTCCGGCACCGTCCTTCCACACGGCTCGTCTTGAGTCTCGGCGGCTTAGCAGGAACAGTAGATACTCGACCTCGTCAAAACAGCCTCCCGTTAGAAGGCCTCTTAGCCGAAATTGCCAGGCCATTCCGAGACCTCAAATGTAGCCGTAAACGCCTTCGATGCTTCCTAGCAAAACACCTTCGATGTTTCCATGTGATGATCTCATGGGCTAGCATGCCCGGTCGCACCACGGGCACGTATGCGTACCTGTGTCTAAGGTCTCTAGCTTTTGGTAGGTATAGGCATACGGTACACATACGATCACATACGTACATATGCGCCTACCCCTGAAAAACCGTGTCTGTACAGGGTTCCAGGGTAGGTACATAGGCAGGTATCGGGTAGGTATGTACGTACGTACGTGCATGTATGTACGTACGTATGCACCTACCTACAACAAATTTGATGGGGGAGGGGATGTGTTATGTACGTACGTTACGTAAGTAATAGTACGTACGGCTGGCTATGCTAAGCATTTCAGGTGAAAGGTACAAAAGGTACTCCGGAGACAAAAAAATCAGGGGGCATGCAAGGGATATGTATGTACGCACGTCGGCGTGCCCGATGCGGGGGGCGGGGAGGACATACGTATGTTTGTGTTGGTACGTAAGCGTAGGGTATTACACCTACAGTACTACATGTGTCTAGGAAAGGGTAAAGGGTATAGGTACATAGGTAGGTAGGTAGGCAGGCAGGTAGATAAGCAGGCAGGTAAGGGGAGGGGGGTGATGTACGTACGCACGTACCTGCCTCGGGGCCTCGGGGTTCCTTGTGTGAAACTCTAAGCCCTAAGCTCCTCTGAACCTGGAGGGCTGGACCTACAGTACCTTGACCAGTTGTCCTCCAGTAGCTCCCAGAAAGTATGCACATGCACTAGGAGGAATACTGCGAGCTGAAGCCTGTACAATGCCACTAAACTCGTAGAGTGCATCAGCCTCCATATATGCCTCCATGTCCTCATTTTCTCCAAAAGACGACTGACGGCGTAACATTGCATAATCCCAGCTGAACACCAAGTGCTGCAAAATCATTGTCTGGTTGCTTGGGTATGTGCATGAAGCGTAGGCAAGCTTCTGCCTGAGGTGACCTGGGGGTTGTGCTCAAGACAGCGAAGCAATTCTACCCAAGAAGTCCAAGTCTTAGTGGGTACCAACCACCAGGAAAAGAAAAGGTCTCGGGTACTGGCTCTTCTCCATGTTTTGTGTTAATTCTCCGTAGTGCATCAGACTGAGGAACGTTCGCGCTTCACCTTAAGCCATCCGAAGTTCCAACGAGAGGCAGTGAGCCCAAGGACGGTTCCCACTGCTTGGTGTTTTTGCTAGTAACTGTCCTCCTGCTACTACTGCTACTGCTACTGCTACTGGCGGCTACTGCTACTACCTACTCCTAGACTACTGGCATAACTTAGCCAGACTGTTCAAACCTTCACCGTGGTGAGATGGCAGGAGGGCTTCTCGTTTACATAGGGTTTATTGTAAGGTACATAGAGGGTATATAATTGTAGGGTCTATAGGCACTACATCAATATATGTGTGTGTGTATATATATATATGTATGAGCGTTGATCAATTACTATACATATATATATATATACAGAGATAATAGATAGATAGATAGATAGACAGACAGACAGATAGTAGGCGTCTGAATATAGACAATATAAGTGAGAAGCGAGTGGGGAGAGTGCCAGAAAGCTGGTGTGTGCATGTGCAAGGCAACCTGTCCGCGTGCTGGCGGACAAATGCCCAGGCAAGACGCCACGCACGTGCGAGGATGAAGGGATGTTGCCAGGACACACAAATGTCGCCACACCCGTCTGCAAGAAGTTGACTGCATTCATCTCCGAATCACCTTTCAAGAGCACTGCCGCCGACAATCTTCAACAACCTCGTTATTACAAGTAACAGAACAACAATTGCCCGAAATGGTCTTCTGCACAGGCTCGGGGCATGAGTTCTGGCTATTTGACGTCACCAAGGGCAGGGACGTATACCAAAGCAGCAAGGGCATCTGCATTGGGAAGCTGACAGGCGGTCCTCATCTGCAGAAACGGTTCGGTCACTTCGGCCTGTGCCGCACTTGAGCCGAAAGCATCGGAAGCGGTCAAGCGGCCTATGTCTTACACGGTCGCCGTGTCGTAGCCTCTACACACAGAAAGCTTGCCAGCCTTTGCCAATGTTTTAAAGCCATCGCGCATCTCAGAAAAGGGGGCGTCCAGGCACTCGGGAGACGTTGCGGGTGCCCACTTCCGAGGGCGGGAAGGGAAAATTAGGAGAGAAGGGGAGCCAAGGAGTCCAAGAACCTGGCAAAAGCCACTCGCGTGAAGGGAGACAAAGGAAGACAAGGAGTCCAAGAATCTGGCGAGAGGCACCCACTACAAAAGAGAAATGGGGAGATAAAGCGGAGACAAGGATTCTTAGAACCCGGCGAGACGCCCGCGTGAAGGGAGGGAAAGCGGTGACAAAGCGGGTTCGCCTTCCCGCGTCCGAGATCTGTTCCGGAGGCGCATATAATTGTCCCGTTTACGTTCTGTAGGAGTACCGACATTATGTTGGGGAATGCCTGGGTGACCTGGATCGATACATTCCTGAAGTCGTCGTGCATGCATTACTCAATCGGCCGATGATCTCACTGTGTCGTGCCTCTGCAGCGAGCGCCACCATAGGAGATAAGTCCTGATTAACAATGACTCGCCTAGCATCGAAGCTGTCTTTTATCGCAATGTTCACTTGTCGGTTCGGCCACGAGTCAAGGTATTGCTACCGGAGATACACGAAGGAAAGCATTTGGTGTGTCAGCAGGAGTCATGATCCGCTCGTGAAGAAGATCGAAGAAGAGAATCTGTCTGAGAATCAACATTCTCTGTAGCTGAATACTGTGGATCAAACTGTGCCAGCATATCATTCGGTGGATGACGACTTTCGTGATTCTGATTTGGCAGTGCTTCACCATCCTCTTTTGACAGCGTTGTCCTGACATTCGGATTCACCTGCGAGCAACCTGGCTGCTTGGCTCGATTAGGCTAAGGTTGATAACCCATAGTGGCCCATAGTTAGTGCAGGAACGCACCAAATCCTCTTTTACCGGAGCATACCGGAGCCATCGAATGCGTGCGTAAGTCGGTGGTACATAGATACACACAAGATCAAAAGCATGAGACTCTAAGACTGGTCATCAGCAAGGATCGTCATACGATGTCCGGATTGCAGTCGTGGATCATGAAGTAAAGCTTTCCAGAAGAGTTCATATCGTTTTCGGGGAGCCCAGCACGCAAAGACCCCAGCATCCTGGACGCATTATCGCGACCTCAAAGAGTCCTGTGTGATTATCAGCTCCTGCTGGCTCATGCGTCTGCGGCACGGCTTCGCTTCTTTCATCATTTGGGGGGGGGGGCAGTAGACGCTCCTGTCGCAACAGGCGGTCTTTTCATATCAAGGTCGTACGCTCACCTGTGAGGCACCACTTGGTGGGCACTCATGGAACCGAAAGCGTGGATGCTCCGTGAAACGATTTTGCTGGACAAGCTCATTCTGGTCAGGACCAGGCAGCATTATTCTAGAGATGCCAGCTCGACCCTGAAAGGTAGCACAGTAGCTTCAGATATGTCCCTTCTCGAAGATCGAGATGTGTGTGTGTGTGTGTCTGCCTGTGCGTCGAATGAAAATGCAGCTGATCAAGTCGGCGGAGCAGTCCGAACACCGATGCGTTTAGGGAAATCGTGTGACGCTTCCGTTGCGCCTTGATGATCAAGGAGTCGGAGTTGATGGAAAGTCATCTGCTCGACGGATGTGGAGGTCCACGATAGTCGCACTGAGACAGGACAAGCTTAATTGGCAATCAGTTCCATGCAGTTCACTCTCGGATTTAATTAAGCAATTTAAGGCATCCACAAGCGGACAGTATGCAGCGCTCTGGTGTCTCCCTACCAATCAGCGGCAGCTGGCGAATCCAGACTTGTGCGGAGGCTTGGAAACTGTTCTACGAACCACTGTTGGAGTTCAGCTGGTGTCAGGGAGCAACAAAAACTAAATCCTCAAGCTCGATGTCATTTATCCCGTTCAGAAGCTAGCAGCTAATTTTTGTCTGAACCAGCAAAGGCCTCCTAGCAGCGAGGGCATCTTCACTGAATGAAAGATCTGCATGGGGTGCAAAGTTAGCGGTCCGGCTGTCTGCCTGCTTTTGTTCGGGGCTTGAGGTCCATATCTCGGGGCCCACGGCCGGAGAAGACTTCAGCTCCCTACTGCACTGTGCTTTTTTGCGGGCAGAGGCTGGGAGCCTCGAGCAGTTCCTGACATGCAGGCGGCATCTGTCTTCCTTCTGCGGGGTCTCTCTCAGTCTCTCGCTCAACCTCTCTTTCTGCAGGGGTGTATGCTTGTCTGGTGTCTACTCGGCCTGGCATCTGGTTCCTGTCTCTGCCTAACACGATATCCAACAGCAACGCTCGGCTGAGGGCTACTTCGTTCGATCACAAACTAAGGCCCATGCGACTTCAGCTCGTTTGCAATGAGCTCAGCGTCGCCCCAGACATCGTTGACACGGTCTATCCGCATCTGACATGGCAGCTGAGATGGCCAGTCATGTCGACTGCAGCAACTGCCGGCCAGATGAAGGAATGAGCAGCGAAAGTACGACAATGAATTCCACTGTGACAGCTGCTGGACGAGTCACATGTCTAATGAAGGGTGCAAACCCATCAGGGCATCGGTCATCCCAACCAAAAGCGTTATGCCAGCGTAGATCCCAAAACAGTGGAAGAGCATCACGACGACCAGGACAACACGAGGAGACCCGTGGACCTGTCCCGCGCGAGTCGGGACCACAGCGGTATGCTTCACCCCCGCCCGGATCCTCTGCAAATATTGAACAAGCTGCCAACAAACAGAACAAACCGCACCACAGCGGGAGCCGCACACTGCACGGGTCCTTTGCTCTGCATAGGAACACCATGGTGTTGCCACACTGCTGACTTTGCTTGGTGTTGTTGGGCTTGCCCCGACAAGCAAAGCGTGACGTCGCACTTCAAAGCATGAGTGGGGCAAATATGGGCAAATCAAGACCAGGCCCTGCAGTCCCAAAGTGGACATCTGCCACCCCAAAACATTGATGTCAGGATGAGGCGTCCAGTGATTGTGGGGCGGGGCAGAGGGACGGGCCAAGCTTTTGCGATGCATCCCCCCCCCGTTTCCGATGCGGCAGCCCCGTCGTGCTAATGTGACAAATCATGGCAAATCAACACCCGCCAAATCGGAGCAAGTGTAGGAAGCAAGGGCTGCGACGCACCAACATGTGCGTCGTTTGTGTCGCCGCTCCCACATGAGATCCATAAGCAGACGGCCAACCTCCGGCAGAACGACGAACGCATATCTCCCCAATTCAACCTGCGCGAGGAAGTCGGAAACAAGGGACCAAATGAGAAGACTCAGAAGGCCTAAATTGTCCATGTCATCAGCATGTCTTGAATGTGACATCCTACCTGCTGCAATCCGTATCCTGTGGTCCTACATGCCTTGTGCACCTGGCTAGGCCGAGCCCAAGTCCAGAAGTGACGACCTGATATCAGACTATGGCCTGATGCTTGTTGTATGCCATGAGCGCGCCGTCATCGAGCACCTTGCAGCTTTAACGTTATGAGTCTACCTGCTGAAGTGCATGCTTCCTTTTGCAGCTCATGGCATGTGTACATGTCTGTTTTCCTTTTATGCTCGTAGGCCAAGCACAAGGTCTTGAGCAACGCTTTTGCACATGTCACAAGGTAGGTGCCATGTCCAAGTAGCACAAACTTTACAGATCTTTTCCTTCTCGTTCGCTTGCGCATAAAAGTCTCCGCGCTTTGAGTGAGCCACTCCACTTGCTTCTACTTCTCAGCCTGCTGGTCCACTCCAGCAGGTTATGAGCCCAAGGGCAGGGCTATGGCACCGCAATGCAGCAGTCATCCCCACCTCCCGGGAGGGATGGTTTGCAACAGACAGGTTTAACGCCATCAAGCCTTCCGGCTGAGGTTGAGGCGGCTGGGCATGCGGTGTGACGTCATTGCGCGCTACTTTGGGTTCCGCTTTACCCACCTTGCAATCCTTGGCGCGATTCTCCTCGGAACCACAATTCAAACACTTCTTAAACC